ATAAATGCAAATAAAGTTGGCTAAAAATACATCCACCTAAAGTGAACCTAAAAATTATACTTGACAGAAAAACCTGCATTCAGTCTAAAAAAATGTGTTTGAGCTTACAGCAACCACTATGTAATTAATGAATGATCGTTGAAAGTATTACCCAGTCAAAGCTGTCATCTCCGCTTCCTCAAGTGAGAACAAGACTAAAAACATCTGTTATAGTAGCTCCAGCACTCAGAAAGTCATCAGCAAGACTCTTCCCTGTCTATTTCAACGATTCAGAAATTAGAAGAAGGAATAAAGATATAATAATGAAAAAGCTAATTCAATTAACCAAACCTACTTGGAAAGAAATAATGATGAATGGCATATACCTACCAAAATCAGCTGTTTATATATTAAAAAAACCACCCCAGTCAAGTAACAATTTCACTTCACTCATAAATGTATTTAGAGGTAAAAGCCAGAAAAAAGAAATAAGGTATTTTTCTGAGACCCACAAGACATCATCTGCAGAGAAAATGGTAGTTCGTACATCCGTTATGACTGTAATGCTGACACTTTTGAAAAGCAGGCCAGCAGAGTTCAGCTTCTACTATCAAGGCATCTCAGACTAGTGGATCAACATCAGATCTTAAACTAAGAATTTTGATAAACTCACACAACCAGTTTCTTGAATCTCCTGATCTCTTTTATCTTAAAAACTGACAGGAAATAATTTCTTCTTTATATACTACTTGCAAAGAGAGTGGTCCTTTATAGGACTGCCAAATTTAAGACAATATAAAATCAGAATGAGTATCTATGGAACATTTCCATAAATAATAAATTCACACAACACATGATCTTTCGAGCACCAGAAATACGACAGGATCTTTTTAATCTACCAGAAGATTAAACATAGAAATACAATAATTAGACTAGTTGCATAAAAAATGAAGTAACACTTTCAGAAAGAAATTTTTTTCATAAGGCCTATTGTATAGATACATAACAGAATTTTTAGGTTTGTTTTTATCTGAAGCATTTCATAACTCAGTATGTAAATGCAAATATAAAATACAAATGCTGAGTAAATGTCATCTTACTAACTAAAACTGGTACAAACCAACATAACATCAACATAAAGTGCATCAAGCAAAACATTACATGACACAGAGAGAAAATTAATAACGAAAAAAATTACTTTGATCTTCATGCCACTACATAACTACATCAGGAATCTTCTTTCTTTGGTTCCTGTTTTGATCAATCTCAGCAGGGCTTTAGATACAGTAGAATTACATTAACTTTAGGTTTGCTTTCCAAACATACAGGATACCTGGCTATATCAGTTTATTTTCAGGATTTCTGCTTTATGAATAAAATACTGCAACTTCTGTTGTATCTTGTAGTGTACCTTGAATACACTTCAAAAAGAATTCTACTACCATTACCTAGCATAAAACACAGATTTTTCCAGAGAATGCATTGATCTAGATCTGGCATTCCTGATGCAGTTAGGAAAGATTAACAGACAAAGTAGGAGTATAGGCATAACAGTGGGAGTCAGGTCAAAAGCTGAAAGTAGTGATACGTTGCTATCGTTGGCACAAATAAGGCCACATCTGAGGTCTTGTGATGTGACCTAAATATTGAGGGCAAACTCTACCATTTTAAGTGTTTGCAGCTGTATTTCTGAAAGATATGATTTCTGGAGAGTAAACATGAGCAGTTGCAAATGCTCAGACATATTACTTGTGGCAGGAGAGCATATGCTAGGCTTAGAAGAGTGCTACAAATGTCCTGCCAGCTTTACCCACAAGCACTCACTTCAGAGTTCCCATCTGCATAATTGTAAACACAAGGAGCTTCCACTGAAATCAAACTCTGACAAAACTCTACCTATGTTAAAAAGGACAGTCAGGCTGAAATTAAGCTCAAATAAATCTTGATTTATTCTATACTTTAAACAGTTGGCCCCTCAAAAAAAAAAAAAAGAAAGCATTTATCAAAACAGCTTGTCATCAGTAAGATCGATGACTAGCCACTAAACTATTCAAGTGACAGCATGGCCTTTTTTTGTCATCAGCAAAATGAGTTTGATTACTACCTTTACTAAATGCTATCTAAATTATTCTCTCCATACTGTCATGTTACTCTTACACAGAGTGGGTGGAACTGGGATGGTCTGGTTAACTTAAGTTCCAAATAATACTACTGAGGGAAAACAACCACATGACTTGGAATTATTTACTTAGCTTTACAACCTACTTTTTCCTGTTTACAACTTCGAGCATTAATAAGAGTAATAATATACCAGAAAGTGTTCTGCCCAAAAATTAATCACACCTCTCAAAGGCTAGAGGCAATAGGAGTTCAGGGGGTGCTCCATCCTAGTCAGTTGCCCCTTAGACGCTGCCTCAAGATGAGTTCATTTCACAACCATGCTCTTCTTGCTAAAGCAAAAGGGATCATAAGATGGCTATTTCATAAGATGACTATTTCTAAAAAGACCAGTTTAACAAATTAGGCTATGTCTAACACTAACGTGGCTGAATAGAAGAAACAGACTATCTGCATGTATGTTTGTATGGGTGGGGTATCCACTCAACCTGCAGAGCTGTTCCAGGGCCACTAACCGTGCATGTGGCTGGTTAGTGATACAGTCATACAGTTTCCACAGTACAACCCAAGGCCTGTCTTGAGCTTAGGCACCCTATTTGGCTATCACAGGGAGGGCACAGCAGAATTCAATCCCTCTCTTCCACATCAGTGCCATAACTCCTAGGGTATCCCACCAGAGAAGATTACACTGAATTCCACAGAAGAGGGGTGGAGAGGAGTCACTTACATATTACGCGTCTATTCAATTGTACACATTATGTTCCTTAATGTACACACTGGAGGAACAACAGGAACAATAGAAGCAGTAAGTTGCACAAGACATCCCTCATAGCCCTCAACAATCCATCCCACTTTCCAACAGATGACAGCCAATTACCCTCTTGAGTAGGGGTGCCCATATATCCCAAAGCTGAGAATAGCTTTTGTTTTCCACAGCCCAAACACACCCTTTTATCACAAAGTTGCCACACAGAAATGCCCTTTGCTCCTCCTCCAGGCTCTAAATAGATGGGAGTACTATGTTTACACATGCAGCCTGGTGCTACACCAGAGGCTGGTGTAGCTACATCTGGTGCTACAACAGAGGCAGATGAGCAGGGATGACTCAGTGTCTTACATTTCCTACTGTTTACCTTGAGGTAATTTCATGGTCAGCATTTAGACTTTTTGCTCTTCAGAACCTCCACTGACTATAAATGAAGCATACAACGCAATCTGACTTGCCTTTTAGGATTGTTTAAATCTTTTGTAGTTGCTTATATATTGGAAGTCTCCCTCTATATTACTTTGTGGTGATTTTCAAAGACTTCTTAGTAATTTTAATGTCTTAGGTCTGCCACTTCATTTCTTTTTAAAGCAAAATTATGGGACTTATGTGCTTACATTGCTCTTTAAAATCTTATATTGTGAAGTATTTATATTAATTTTAAACCAAAATATATTTCTTTAGTAGGTACAGGTCATACTTAACCAATGTTATCACTTCATTTCTTTTTAAAGCAAAATTATGGGACTTATGTGCTTACATTGCTCTTTAAAATCTTATATTGTGAAGTATTTATATTAATTTTAAACCAAAATATATTTCTTTAGTAGATACAGGTCATACTTAACCAATGTTATCAGATCAGAAAGAGAGCTGTTACAGTATTAAATACTTAGTTTTCCCTAGGTAAGAAATGCCTTTTCCTTTCCATTTTTTTGACTAATTTAAAAAAAAAAAAATCACAATGACCAACTAACTACTTTCTTTTTTTTTTTTTTTTTAAAAATTAAAAGAGACAAAACAAGGCTAGGGACAGAACTCATTTTTATCTTAACACATTTGTTATGGTGTACTAACAAAAAATATACCAAAACCCCTTCAGTTGTATTTTATGATTTTTAATTTCAGTCTTTTTTACATATGATGATACCACAGACTGTAAAAGGTTAAAATCCCTCACAGTTATTTGGGGCTCTCATTATATTCAACACCACAAAATTTCCATTGAATGTATAAAGCTGTATCTCCTCCTCTTAAAATTCAAAATGTAGCAGTGCTCCACCAACTGAGCTCCATTTACTGCTATGGGCCTACAGAAGGATTACTGATGCTTTGAAGATAGCAGGCTGTCTCTCACCACTCAAAGCTCTCAGTTATTTCTACAGACATCTTGGCTCATCTGCTTCAAGCAGCCTGATGGCCTTAAAGAGAGAAACAAGGAAACAAGGAGGACAAAGCCAAGCCAAACTATCAGATATAAAGAGGAGGAAAAATGAGCTGCCCTGAGGAGCTGCCCAAATATCAGTAGAGGAACGGTCTTTGGAAATAAGCAAAACAAAAATGCAGCAGCATGTTCCCCAGCTAAGCAAGAACAGACATACAGGTAATATGGACAGTGTAACAAGATGCAAGGAAGTAAAGACCAACAAAACTGGACAAAGGAAAGGGGGAGGTAGACAGTGAAAAAAATAAACTTTAAAAGTGTCATTAACAAGTATATGAAAGAAGACAGACCATGTTGTAGAAACGAGAGTTAAAATCATCCAGAATCTTTTCTTGTGTAAGTAATTATTAAAATCCATCTATAACATTATATCAACAGGAAAGAAGTCAATAATGAGATAATTTTATAACATATATACATATAAGTATATATAGCAGCAGAATAGTTAAGAATCCTTTCTTTTAAGGCATCTTTGACTTTAAGGGCTTGCTTATTTTTTTTAATAAATTCAAATCTAAAGACAAACAATAAAAGAAAATAAACAAGTACTTTTTAAAAAATGGGCATATCAACCAATTCCAATCAATATGAATGAAACATGAAGTATAACAGTCATTAACTAAAAAAACCCTCAAAACCTAAAAAACCTAATAAATCAGTACATAAGGATATGTTAGAAATTTAATCACTTACAGGCTCTCCACGATGTCCTTCTAGGCCTGGAGATCCAGGCTGTCCAACTTCACCCTTTAAAATAAAAAAAAAAGACAAAAAAAAAAATTTCCTTTGCATTATAAAAATAATTATTTCAAATACTGAATTATTATTTTTAATATAAGTAAAATGTCAAACGAATACACAAAATCAAGGTTTCACCAAATAAACATCTCTTGAAAACAGTTTAAAACACACTAAGAAGTGTTGTCAATCCAATATTTCCTCATGCTGTGTCCAACAGGTAGCTGTCAAATAGTTTGCAAAAAGAGATGAGAGACAATTGTCTTTTCAATCAGAACAGCAACTTCTGGTTGAAGAAATGCATAAAAAAATAAACTGCTACTGTCTAACTGTTAGTACAACTAATAGTCTGGAAAAATATTTCAAAGCACTTAAGAATACAGCAGTACCAGAAATCATCAAATCTTTATGCCCTTACTCAAAATATATACGATACTATTCTGAAAATTTGAAATTTTCAGAAATTCAGAAATTCCAGAAATAAAAGCACATAAAACAAATTAAAGATCAATTAAATTATTATTATCAATTAAAGATAAATTAAAGATCAATTAAAATATATACAAAATAATCTCACAATAATTAATTTAAAATTATAAAATACAGGACTGGAAGTAACAATGGGTAGCATCTGGGTTTCAAGCCATGCTTTTTCCACATTCTTTCCTGGAATGAATATTGTAAAAAAACAGGAAAGCTCCAACAGAAGTTTCCTTCAAAGACAGCATTTGTTACTGCTCTGAATTTGATTATAGACCCAGAATGAAACAATGTTTTATAGCAAGCAGATGCTGAAGTCAAGCTGACAAAATATTTCAATGAAGAATACAGCTTCTATTAGCTATATTATAAAATGAATAAAAACTAATGAGTATGTCATATTTTTTTGTACAATAATTTTTTTTACAGAAAATGTCTTTCAGTTTAAATGCACAGACGTTCACATAACTATTATACTGAATTCTCTGTATATTTTTTACAAGCATAAAAACAGATCAAAGTACTCTCCAAATTCATCCTTTAGCAACATAATGCTTCACTCTAAATGGCCACCAGTGACAGTTAAAATTTTATGCTAACGTTGTGTTGACTGTGACTTCTACCTGTCCGTGTTATCAAATACTGTAGAAGGAAAAAATTAATACCTAATTTTTTTCTATGTTCTATAGTACCAGAAAAGGAATTCCTCCACCAGCTTAGCTGGTGTACGTGTGTGCGTGCGTAGATATACATATATAAAAGGGAGGATTTGTTTGACGTAAATTCATGGAAGGTAAGTAAGCTCCTATCACGGACAACAGAAGTCTAGTCCGGACAATCAATGGAGGACTGATTCAGCTGATCAGCCAACAGAAGCTGAATTCCACTGCCCACACATAGACATTTGGTCATATTAGAGATACCCAAAGGTGTCTTGTCTAGGGTCCTACTCCCACTCCAGAAAGGTACTGTCTTTCCATAGGACTTATGTCATATTTTTCAGCTTCCTTAGGATGCTTTGGACACTAATACATTTCAAATGCACCACAGGCCTTTGAAGGACACAACTAAACTGGTACCTATGAGTCTGCCTTCTTTGACTCCTCTGGCATTACCACTTAGACCTGCGTTGACTTCAATGGCTACATAGGTAGCTAGTATGTCCATGGACACAAACTTTGAGTGTTTTAAGAATGTCTGTTCAATTGTCTTTGCTTGACATATTTGCAAGAGTCAGAGATACATTTATATTAATAAAGACAATTTGTAGGCATGTATCAATGGGATTTGAAGATGAAAATGAAATTAAGTAGGAGTATTTAAAACTAAACCAAGCAACAAATAAAGAAAAAGTCCTTTAGTATTGTAGAAATAATCTGCTCTTGGTTGCTGAAGTTAACTTAAGAAAAATGAGCAATGTGAATTTTTTTCCATAATTGAGATTTACAACTTCATTTACCAATATATTTTAGAGTGTGGTAAACATAAGAGCAGTTAAAAAAAAAAGCAGTACACATAAAACAAAGTTACTCCATTAACTTTTAGCACAGTCTCATTAGGCCTTCCAAGGAGAACAAATAAAACAGGAAATACTGAGTTTATCTACCATAAAAGCTAAATCTTATACATACTTTCTCAAGGCTGTTATTTTAGATGTTTTCTGCTAATAAATCTTTGAATTGCAGGATGCTCAGTTATACATTGAAGTTGGGCAATTTCCCGGATAACAGTGCTGTAGTGTTGCATGTAAGTCATAACTCATCCCTTTAGCTTCAAACTAAGACACTTAGGTATGCTATTCTATCCAAAGATGTCTAGGGACATGCAAGGGCACTAAGACCCCATTACAGTGAACAAAGGCTCAATTTAGCTACCAAATCACAAATGATGGGTGCTATTTGAGGTGCTGTAGGGCAGCCAAAGCTTCCACATTGGGCTGGCAGGTACCACCTAAAGGAGATCTATGCCCTTCTAAAATGACACTTACAGGTCACCTTGGCTACCCAAAGAGGATGAAATAAGACTGAAAACTTACTAGTAAAGTCACAAAAGTTATAGCAGTTAACAGTCAGCAGCTTAGTGACTTTAGAAGCTCCATTCATTATATTTACTAAGACCTTCACTCAGTTGTCACCACATAGATGTGGTGACAAATAAGGGTGATAAATTTTTCACCTTGAAAACATTCAAGGATGGAACAAGGTGAACAGTTGTGCAGTCTCCATTGAGGTTACCAAGACCCAGCTGAGAAACCTGGTATGGATTCAGTGCTGTCCCATTTGTGAGCAGGAAGCTAGTCCAGCAGATGACTGAAATTCCCCTCCAGCCTGAGAGAACAAGCCTGGGATGCTGCTGGATCCACTTTGTTGGCAGCTGCTGCCCAAAGGGTTTAGGTCTCTCATAGGTCTTGCACCACATCTCCCTGCTGCAGCAGATGTCACAGATATGCCAACTGCATCCCCAACTGCTCTAGACAAGCATGGTCACGAAATGGAAGACTCAGATCTTCAACTGAAGAAGACTCAGATCTTCAACTGAAGCAACAGGAATTTAGACAAATGCACTTAAAAGTACACTTGTACTTTTTGACACTGAAGTAACATCACTCTGGAGCAGTCCTAAATACTTTCCTTATTACTAAGAAAAGGAACAACGCTGCTGTTTAAAAGCTTCTTTAAGTCAATTCAACTGAACATTTACATTGCATATTATTAATTTTTTTTCCTGTGAACTTAAAACTGATACAGCTGAAGTCCACCTTTTCACAAATCAGAAAAGCGCAAACAAGCACTTGGCAAGAAAAAACATCCAGTGAGCTCACACACTGTGATACATTATACAAATATCGGATCCTGTAGTCTTTTTTACAGTACACAGATACTCAATCAACTTGAAAAACTGTTCTAAATTCAATATAAAGGGCATTGCACAGTGAAGAGAATATGAACACAAATATTCAAGTGCTTTCCCCTAACTTTCCTGTATCTCCCTTCAAAAGTAATTAATTATGTTCTACAGTGTATGCTTGTTTATAAATCTCATTAAGAGAGTTAGATAAACACAAAAGGATAAGGAAGACAACGGATAAAGAATCTCTAAGGATACACTCTTAATAAAAGATTTGCCCCGGCTCACAAAACAACCGAAAACAATGAAATCTGCTCACTGCTGCAGTAAACTTCTGCATTTCCTAGTACCACGTTATTTTAATTTCCAGTAATTCTCCACAGAATAAACGGGTATATTTAGACCAATAGCAATGCTATTGAAGACTTTGGCAAGATACGAATATACATTTCTACCTACCTTGAAACCAGGACTTCCCGGTAATCCATCTTTCCCATCTTTGCCAGGGTCTCCCTGTAGGAACAGTTACCAGTAATCAATAAGTGAATTAACATGCAAAAGTTAAAGACAAATTGTCTTCACAAAACTTACTGATCGGCCAGGCATTCCTGGAAACCCCGTATCACCCTTCTCTCCTTTTGAACCCTGAGAAAAACAGCAAACAAAAAGTAAGTTATGCTCAATGTTTACGCTGCAAATTTAGTATATTTAACCTATAATTAATGCATTTCTAATTTTGAAAATGTACAGGAGATCTGTTTCTTTCTTAGTACAGCCAGCTGTCAATTAATAACTACCTCGTTACAGAAACGTAACTATGTTTGAAAATATAGAAATGCTAACACAGACCCTCTTTCAAATTGCTTAAAACTCTAGAGCAATAAACACGTGAAGAAAATATAAGGACACATGAAAACGTAACTGTTAACTCTCCATGGCCAAAATGCGCTCTCTGCTTTATATAAATTACAGATTAAAATATCTCTCTTCATGGCCACTATAAGCCTCACTCCTTTCGTGTGCTCCTCTCCTCACTCCCCTTACTCCTCTCCCTTGCTCCTGTTTGATTATATATACATTTCTATGTATTAAAAAGTACAGACTTCTTTGCAATTATTACATATACCGCATACATGGTGCGTTATCCCATAGACGCATTTGCAAAAAATATATGCATTTTGTGTTACGTGAAACTGAATTACACCAACCCATTAACAGGATGAAGACAGTTCTCTAAACATGCAAATATGCAGAAAGCAAGTTTGATAATACTAAACATAAGTACATCCAGTAACAACAGTGAAATTTTTTTTTGAGTTACGACTGCAGAATTAAATTATCTGTGAATACATATTATAAAAATATAAATTATATTCCATAGGGTTCCCATGCCCCAGAGCTGGCAGCAGGGAAGGAACGTGAGAAGGAAGGAGAGCAGAGAGCTGTTGTGGACTGACCACCCCACCCTGTTCCCCATTCCCCATCCAATGAAGGATGGGAGTTGAGCCTGGAAAAAAGGCTCAACTGGGAGAGGTGTTTTAGTTTTTGTCTTTGTTTCTCACTACCCAAATCTATTTTACATGTCATTAAATTAAATTAATTTTCCCCAAATTGACACTAACTGGTAGGTGATCTCCCTTATCTGGACCCACAAGCTTTTCCATCTTATTTTCTCCGGCCATACTGCTGAGAAGGGGGAATGAGAGCGTGGCTGGGGACATCAGGCAGCCAGTCAAGGTCACCCCATCACAGATACCAATAACATTTTGCTTTAACTTATAATTACAAGTTCACTTGCCTTTTTTCCATATATTCCCGGCTCTCCTTGATCTCCTTTAGGACCCCTTTCTCCCTAGACAAAATGTGTGTGAACAAGTTAATTTTTAAAATAGAAGTAGTTATATAAAGATACATATATGAAGTATACACGTATAACAGACTCAAAACAAAGCAGGCAGAGCTACGTGTGATATAAAAAATATGCCCAAGACAGTAAACTCAAACCCTGAATTTTCCAAGCTCTCCTAGGGGGAGAAGCCCAGAATGTCCAGCACTGATGGTGAGGCAATCCACAGCTTGCAGGCTTAATGTTTCTGCTTTTTATGGAAGGTACTTTGTGATTCTGGTTGCTTAAATATAGGTAGGAACCTAAGTGAAAATTCAGTTCTTTGAAAAGTGCTGCACTTTTTTGAAGACCTTATTTGAAAAGTTTAAAACACAAATTTGGAAAAACTAAGAAATATATCCAGTTGAATACTAACATAGAAGAAAAGAAGATATGGTTGATGATGATTTAGAGAACACACACATGAACTAAACTTGCTAGGATAGACTAGAACTATCCTTCAAAATGCTGTCACCCAAATTTAACAACTTAAAGAAAATAGTATAATTATATTTTTATTTTTGACACATTATTTGTGATGAAGAAGGTTCTAAGTAGTAAAATCAAAGTAATTAATATAAAATCCCATAGAGCAGAACAAAAATATAAAAACAGTTTGATATCTATGTAATGAAGTCCCATGGCATGTATCTTCCCTAAATTTCAGCATCATATCCATTGATTTTACGTAGGTCATCTACATAAAATACACTGATAGTATTGTATACAGACTTATTTTTCCCCTAAATTAAACCATAGAGCAACTTGAAACACAGGAATACTGTAACAAGACATATTTCATTTCAACCTTTGGTGCTGGCATCCCATGTAATCCAGGAAAACCAGGTAGTCCACTGTCACCCTAAAAGAGCAAACATATTTTAAATCCTTGTATCTGAAATAGTTGTAATGTACTATAATAACATTCATATCCTCATGATCAACAAATAGTGGAAAGATGTTATGTACCACCATATCAACTTCATAACGTTCTATGATGATTGGTGAGAGTCTGTTGATCTTCAAACAAGATTCAGTACATAAAAGAAAAAAAAAACTTAAAACAATAATTAAATTTTAGAATAGATTTTACTGTAATTTCTGAATAAATCTTATGGGGATTCAAAAGTAGCAATTTAGCTTTAACAAGATGAAAAAAAGCTTTGAAAATCTCTGTAGGAGCTGTGATAATTCTACCATCCATTCCTAATCCCTAAATAAGGAAACTCCATAAACCTGTAATGGCTTTGCTTTGACCTGTTACTGAAAATATCAAAGACCTACCGACCTTATCAAATTTCTCACCAGCTTACTCTGCATGAGTGAAGTATTAAAAAAATAAGGAATTAAGTACCTTCTCTAGAAACCAAACAAAATTAAACCAAAGTAGACTGATATAAAACAACTTTGGCACTTTGACAAATGAGTTCTTATTTCTGTGGAAGACAGAATACACTTTGGTAAAAGCAGTTGGCAACTGAAAAGACAAGGCATATCATCAGTTCTTTTTATTGTTTTCAGAAGTGTTAGATATCAGGGATTCCAAACTTTTGCTGGTACTGTTGGTACTGAAGATATTTAACTGACAATTTGTCTGCAAGCTCCTTTGAACAATTACAACAAAAGGCTAAATTATAACTTGTCAGTACCTGACTTGAAGCAATAAAATCAAGCTTTGCTGCTTGTTTCAGGAGACCAGATTTACTTCACATAGGACAAAGAGCCAACCCCAAAATCATTTTTGGTCAATCAAAATGTTTTCTCTCTGTTAATGCCTAACTCTATATTAAACAATACATTTCGATTTGTTTGATCTATTTCAATCATAAAGAAAGAATAGTAAACTATGCTTGGGAAGCTGTTTCATGTAATATTTCAAGTTCTAAGGCAAAGGTTAGCCATGACAACATATCTCAGTGCTGTTTATCAAAGCCATTCATGTCTAAGCAGATATGGAGAGTTCTGTCATATATTCGCAGAAGACAGAAACACAACCACAGGAATGACAGCTTACAGGTTAATGCTATCAAAATATCTCTTAACAAATAAATACTGAAAACAGGTGGAACGGAGTTCAAAAAATCAGCAAAGCTTACAGAATCAACACTTTGTGCATCCACTGCTTCTTAATGAAAAAGATTGGAGTTCCAATTTCTACTCAGAAATGGTGACTCAATTATTGGATAAACTAAAACACTTGGAAATGGAAACACTTTTAAATTAGTTACTACAGAAACTTTACAAGTAATGGGATGAAATTAAGAGATGAAAATTTGGGCTGAATCTCCAGGAAAAAAATTCTAATGGCAAGACGTATTTTACAATGGAAAAGTTTCCTGAAACAGTGGTGGAAGCCCTATTTCTTGGCACATTTTAAACAAGGCTGGACTGAGCAATAGGAAATATTCTATCTGTCATAACACTGCACTGCCAGGAGAATAGAGTTTTTCATCAGCAGTATCTTAATTTCTACACATGGTCCAATACCCACTGATTGATAAGATTAACATCTAAAATCAATTAGACTGAGATGACTAAAGCACAGAAAACATAAGTACATTTTTCACCCCTAATCGTGCATTTGAGAATTCTGCTGAACAGTGACAAATTTAAGGACTTGTTTTTAATATTGGGAACTTCAGAAAGGAATTCTAAGACCTGTTGGGAAAACAAGCATTTGTTTTACAGAAAAGGCTTTTAAGTTTTAATAAACCAAAACCAAAATCATTTTTATCACAATCAACTTAGAACTTTTCTAAACATAGGGCAGAAATGTGGGCATGGATATTTACATATCAATGAAACTTGGCAATGCCAATGGCCAGTCTATTCTCTGTGCATCCAGAAGATCCAGAGTCAAGTTTATCCAGATTATCAGAAGGGAGTTACATATAAACTTCCACATCTGTCTGTAGCTCCAAGCTACTGGTTACACCTCAGCTAGAATTTTCCACAAAAAGCTTTGGTTTCAATTAGTGTTTTCTGATAAAAAGTGCCATCCAAAAATTCCTATGTAGGTCATCTGGATGCTTACTTAAAGAGATAAAGGGTGAAAAGAGTCAAAAAGAAAACCATTCTGACAGAAGTCTGTATTGTGCTTCCAGGTACCCATACTTAGATACACTTTTCTACATATATGTTATTCAGTCCAATGAAGTTGCTACTGGCAGTGCTAAAGCCTATATGACCTTTATTAAATAAAGCAGACCAGATTCAGAATTTAAATTTAGGATTCTTAATCCTTTCTTATTACCCTTCTAATAAACAATTCTCACAGAAGCTTCATGTGAAAATACTGATATTATTAACTGATACTACTACTTTTGTTTGTTTTTTTTTACCTTTGCCCCATCTTGTCCTGGCTCTCCCTTGATACCTGGTAAGCCACGAGGTCCCTAAAGTGAGGAGAAAAAAATGAAAACCAGCTCAAATACTAATTCAATCAGATATAGAACAAGACACAGAAATGTAACACAACATGACCCAGAGACCAATGTGTCAGCTGGCTGATTACAACATTTTTGTAATTGGACACAAAGGCAGAACCAAGCATGAAATGCATCCAGCATGTATGAATATGGCACGCCATCATAACCCATGTCTCAGGAGTACAGAAACTACTTTTTGTTCTAATCAAGGACAAAAAGAATGTCACGCAGGCTGTATTAGCCCAGGGGTGTCCCCTTCAAATGTCCATCAGACAGCCTTCACAAATGCCATGTTGCAGGCTCACTCCTGGCCCCAGCATTCTCTCAGATGTTTAATTCAACAAACTACCAAGTCCTTTACTATCAGCCAGACTGGATCGTGCCACAAGTAAAATACAGCACTGATACAACTGATACTGATACAACTGTCTCAGTAAGGACTACTAAATTTATACAACAAAGAAAGAAAATTAATTCTCCTCCATCAGACTGGACTTTATCTGAAACTTTGTTCTGGACATGTGCATTGAGGGTAATCCATCTCCATGACAAGACTTCAGATCACTGTTAGTGATTCATAGAAAAATTGAAGGAACTACTCTTTGGCTTCTGGATCAGGACAAAAACGTCTAAGCTGCAGCTGAGTCCATCTTCTACAGGCCTTACCTAGCACTGATTAAATTTGCCAGTCTAATTGTCAGCCTACCTTCAAATCATGACATCACTTGAGCCCTTTTTGAACCCCAACCTCAACTCTCAATAAAAAACAATGGATATTGAGAGAGACTTGGCAGGATTCGTCTCAGATCTAGTCTCAAAATCTAGGAATGAAACAGAAACTTACCTGAATCCCTGGAGTTCCTGGGATACCTGGAGTTCCTGCTGATCCCTGATATCCCTAAGGAAAAGAACCAAGACTTGTGACTTTTCAAAAGTCACATATACAAATTTCCAAACACCTATTTAAAGAAAAAACGATCTTCCTGCTTACTAGAGAACTGTTGTCACAGCCCTGTCATTGTAGGTCACAAATTTTAGCAACTGCTATTACAACCATATATTTGGGATTTACACTTCAGCCTTCAAAAGCTTTCATATCTGCATCTGAAGCTTGCAGCCTCCAGACTTTAGTTAAAATCAGTTATTTTAGAATTGTTACAAAAAAGCATAACAAACATATTGTTTTATTTTCAGCTGGGGGAAAAAAGAAAAAAGAAATTAATCCACATATGTTGACACACTTTTTCTCTCTCTCTCTCAAGAAAAACAGCTGAAAGATGTCAGGAGTTTTAAAGGCTTATTACTAGTTACAGAAACAAGCTTTAACAAATAAGGTATGTTCTAATTCATTATGCAGCTAGTTTTGTAATATCTCTAAATAATAAAAACTTCATTCTAAATACTAAGCACTTAGCTATGAACCTGAAGGTATATTACAGGCTATGCAAATACAAAAAATTATTAGAATGACTGGGACTATGAAAAGAAATACTAAATAATTCATAAGTTGAAAAGAGAATTTCAGGAATGCTTTACTAGAAATCAACATTGGCAGAACAAGAGAACCTCTACAGAATCCAAAATATATGTCTAAGTTTTGGTAGATTTGATTCAATTACTACAGCAAAGATAACCAGATTTTATGTAAAATGAACAAGTGCTTTAAAGAATCCTTTAAGAGAGGTAAGTTACTGAAGAATAAGAATTTCACATAGCTCCACTAAAAATATTTCATTCCAATGGAGAAAATTAGCTACCAGGAGGGATTTTTTTGATAAAACATTCAAAATAAGAGGAGAAATTGCTCTATAAAACTCTGAGGCTATTTGGCTCAGACATTTCAACAGGCAGACAAAACTAAATGTGATAAATCCCATGAAATGGACTATCCAATCTCAAATACCCAGAATTTGATCTTGATTTGAACTGAGAGAACTAATAATCCTATTTCTAAATGAGTTTCAGTCTTAAAAACTTAGCACAAAATTTAATGAGGGGATTACCACACTGGTAAAAAGGAGCTAATAGAACCTTTTCAATTCAAGGAAGGCAACATGTATGTCTGATATCTTCTTTAAATCAGTCAGAGCTTCCTAGGAATAATAAAAAAAGCTAAAATTATTTGCTGGGTTAGATACAAGAGAGTCTTTGCTGTGCTCTCTTCCCAAAGGCATTTGAGCAGATGACCGATGAGCCAGCTGGTAATGTTTAGTATAGAAGTAAACAGAATTCTAGGTCTGTGTCATACATGGATCCTCTATCAAGCATTCCACCTCCACTGCTCAAGGCAGTTCTAACAAAATCAGCTTTAACGTTAAATGGTATAGCATTCCCAGACTGCTCATAGGCCTCCCAGATAGCTGAAATAATTCACCAAACCAAAAAATGCCTTTAAAAGTGTATCCCTTTTTTTCTTCTAAAAAAAAAAGGCAAAAGGTTTGTATGACTTTCTGTAGGATATAATTATATATAAATAAAACTCTATTTTTATATTTTAGATCTCTGCAATGCAATTTCCCTTCTCCCTCTAACTGAGAAGGGGAAGAAGTAGAGGAGTACAATTTCCTGGTTGAACTGAATTTTGAAATTCACAACATGAATAGAGGATGGCAGAAGAGTTTTCAGCTTACAAAACTGCATATTTAGCTCAGAGCTACATACTGTAATGTGATTTCAACACAAATCAAACACAGTGTCAGTGTGCTCTGTTAATGGAAAGCTGGAACAGAGAAGATTCAAAAGGAAATTTGCAGAAAGTCACAAAAATGAGAATCGGTGTCTGGTAAAAATCACATAGCAATTGTCTGGACAAGGTAAAACCACCTTCTGTAAAAAGAAAACTGGATTTCATAAAAACTGAGCATGTATTTGTATCACTACTCCTTTGCAGTACGGATTATAAATCTATATGCTAAAGCCTACAAATTTTTTGCACTAAAGTCAACTCTTTAGTGCAAAAGAGTTTGCACTCTTTCCTAACCGCAAAGCCCTCAGTAGGAGTACCTATGTGACATACACACATATGCTGCAAGAACAGCAGTGCCACAGTTGCCACTTTATGTAAAAGGGACAGAAGTAAAAATTCCTGTTACAATTGACACTGCTGAGTTCAGGACTGAAGGTTCACTTTCAAATACAGCGAAAGTACTAAATTTGCCACAAAAAATAATACTTTTTATCTGGGTTTGGTCTTCTCTCATGAACTTCTCAGAACACACACAAATAGTGTGAGAAGTATTATAGTTAACTATTAATTTGATATGCAATTTTGAATCCAGTTCCCTAAACACAGGCAGCACCTGTCATTTGAGATTCTTTGGACACCCACCCAGTGGTAGAAGACAGTGGCACAAAATATTTGCCCACTGTCTTGCAGTATGGGCAAAACAAAATACCTTGCAGCATAAAAATCCTATACTTGCTGAGTAATGCGATAATTTAGACACCCTGTGTCTTTGTACCCATTTAAAGAGTAAATGTATGTGCCCTCACTGGCAATATCAATAACTAAAATCCTGCCAGGCAACAGAAATGACAGAAAGCACTTCATGTATTTGAATTAAGTGTTTTAACCTTTCTCTGAGAATTTTTTCTATCATCTAATGTTTTTGCCTCAGGTCCTTTCTCTTCCTTTTCTCAAGGAGTTTTTTTTTCTAACATCTCTAATACCTCACTGTGTCTGTACTCATGTGGCTATTGCTTTTCTTTTTCCTGCCTCTTTGGACACGTGGATCAGTCAAGTGGCCCTCTTCAGCATGTCTGTTTGGAGCCTGTGCCTTACTCCTTTCTCTGAGACTTTCTTAAGCAGTGGTAACTCAGGAGCTCAGAACAACAGTCATCTCTCCTCCCTCTGTTAAACAGCATGGCACTGTAGAAGGACTTCTGTGGCCAACAGGTCCAGGGAGGTGATTCTTCCCCTGTACTCTGTGCTGGTGAGGCCACACCTGGAGTATTGTGTCCAGCTCTGGGCTCATCAGTTCAGGAAGGATATTGAGGTCCTGGAGCAGGTCCAGAGAAGAGCAAGAAGGCTGGTGAAGGGACTTGAGCACAAGTCCTATGAAGAGAGGCTGAGGGAGCTGGGGTTGTTAAGCCTGGAGAAGAGAAGGCTCAGGGGAGACCTCATCACTCTCTACAACTACCTGAAAGGAGGTTATAGCCAGGTGGGGATCAGTCCCTTCTCCCAGGCAACTATCAGTAATACGAAAAGGCATGGTCTTAAGCTGTGCCAAGGGAGGTTTAGGTTGGATATTAGGAAGAAATTCTTTACAGAGAGGGTAATCAGACATTGGAATGGGCTGCCCAGGGAAGCGGTGGATTCTCCGTCCCTGGAGGTTTTTAAGATGAAACTGGATGTGGCACTTAGTGCCATGGTCTAGTAACCATGGTGGTAGTGGATCAAGGGTTGGACTTGATGATCTCGGAGGTCCCTTCCAACCCAACTGATTCTATGATTCTATGATTTACTTCTGCAGCTCACCAGAACTGTCTCTGCAGTGAAGCCCACACTGAAGCAAAACTGAAGGGCAGATCCAGCATTAGATCGGAAAGGTAGCTAAATGAAGCTTTTATCTACCAACATAAATTTGAGGGTGATTCCTGATCAAATATTTATTATCATGTAAACATTATTATGGGAAAAGTAAAGAAGAAAGTTTTCATTGGCTTGTATGTTGCCTTTTTTTGGGTTTGCCTTGTTTGGTCTGTTTATTATTTCTCCATTTCATTACACTTTCTTCCATTAGCTACTCCATCATCGGCCAAGGTTTTCATAACTCAGAGCCCCTACCAGTATATTTTACATGAGCATGATGTTCTCAAATACCTGAGAGGAAAAAAGATCCATCAAGATCATTAAATAAATGTCATAAATCCAGTTTAAAAATTCTTGAGCTTCAGAGTGTTGGGAGATGAGATGATGTACTGAGGGAGTATAACTTCCTGCTCACTGCTTAGTTGTTCATCCTTATCATATCATCTGCCTTTGGCTACTGCTGTCTAAACTACACAGCTGTAGGCAGCACAAGTTGGCATCAGGCATCGCTCCAATTTCAAAGTGGTAGGTCTCAGGGAAGCCATTACACAACTGTATTAGAATGGAGCAATTGTATTTCCTCTAATAACAACAACATCACAGTTTTACTGAGGAATACGTACTTTTCTGGAATTGAAAGCAGCATTTTATGGATGAATTATCAACTATGTCTATGAAATTTTCCTGAGAAAAGTAGCTCCAGAGTTTAGAACAACCTAAATCCCAGGCAAACCATGCAATAGCACAGGGAATTCTATGTATACATAAAAATATTATCCATTTTTATTCCAAAAGCACTGTTGATTTGGCCTTCAGTTGGTCACCAAATATGAAACTCTACTTAGTACAGCCGTAAAAATGTACTATATTTTTTAAAAAGTATATTGGAATGATGAGAAATTACTTATTATGTGAGGCTTTGACACCTTATGAACTTTCTGTCTACATATATCAGTAAAGTCAGTCTCATCAGATTAAACTGCTTATTTCTTGTAGATACTGTAAAGACAAGGCAAACAGTTCCAAACTTTCATGAATCAAACTAGATGGAATACTGGAAAATTGTCCAGATTTTCCAGCTGCATGGTTCACAGTTCAAAACTGACAAATAAGTGGTTTTTTTTTAAATTTCTTTCAACAGACTGATAACCTATCACCTCTATTAACCACAAGTTATCGCTGCACAGACTCTGATCCTTTATTTTTCCCCGTGAGTTTTTCCCCAGTACATAAAAAGTATCCTTTGGAATAAAAAATGGCTTTATGACCACACAGTCAGGCTGCAGAGCACTTTCAGGGCCAGCAATCACTCCAACTGTTTCTTCTGGACGAATAATGTCCATTAAAATAAGTTTGAGTTGAGATTC